TTTTTCATGAATGGGGTCATAGGCTTCTCTCTACCTTCTTTAAGTACATAGTTTAAGAATTGAAGGCTGGGCGCAGTGGCTCATGTCTGTAATCCCAGCACTTTGGGAGGCCGAGGCAGGTGGATCACGAGGTCAGGAGTTTGAGACCAGCCTGACCAACACAGTGCAACCTCATCTCCATTAAAGATACAAAAATGAGCCAGGCATGGTGGCACGTGCCTGTAATCCCAGCTACTAGAGGCTGAGGCAGAATGGCTTGAACCCAGGAGGCAGAGGATGCAGTGAGCTGAGACTGTCCCATTGTGCTCCAGCCTGGGTGACAGGGTGAGACTCCATCTCAAAAAAAAAAAAAAGAATGATAAAAAGTCATGCATGTTGTTTCACCCCAGCAGTCCTGGCTTTACTAAAAACACACACTCTAAGAATTCCATACATGGAAGTTGGAACTTCAATCAGAAACAGTCAAAGAGAAGCTGCTTGAGCAAGAAAATAATCTGAAAAGTTGGCCGAGTGCAGTGGCTCACGCCTGTAATCTCAGCACTTTGGGAGGCTGAGGTGGGTGGATCACCTGAGATCAAGAGTTTGAGACCAGTGTGGTCCACATGGTGAAACCCCACCTCTATTAAAAATATAAAAACTAGCCAGGTGTGGTGGTGCCACCTGTAATTCCAGCTACTCAGGAGGCTGAGGCAGAAGAATCGCTTGACCTGGAAGGTGAAGGTTGCAGTGAGCAGAGACTGTGCCATTGCACTCCAGCCTAGGTGGCAGAGCAAGACTCTTGTCTCAAAAACAAAAAACAACAAAAGGCCAGGCAAGGTGGCTTACACCTGTAATCCCAGCACTTTGGGAGGCCGATGTGGGCGGATCACCTGAGGCTGGGAGTTCAAGACCAGCCTGACTAACATAGAGAAACCCCGTCTCTACTAAAAATACAAAATTAGCCGGACAAGGTGGCGCATGCCTTTAAACCTGCTACTCAGGAGAATCGCGTGAACCCGGAGGCGGAGGTTGAGGTTAGCCAAGATTGCGCCATTGCAGTCCAACCTGGGCAACAAGAGTGAAACTCCGTTTCAAAGAAAAAGAAAGAGAATATCTAAAAAGCAAGCTCTTTTAGAAGAGAAGCAAGGCCTCCTTAACAGTTTATGAACACACACCTGTTAGGAGCAATACTGTCAGTGCCTTTCACTCTAGGTGTCTCTGTAAGCTATAAAAGCAGTTTAATGGCAAATACATACTCTCTCCAGGTTAAGATGCCACAGATTCATAAATGTGTAAAAACACCAGGCCTTGTTTTGGGGATAAGGCGAGAAAAAGGCTTGTTAAACAGTCTCTTTTCCAGAAGGAATTATCCCTTACCCATTCACTCCCTGGGATAGAAGGTCAAAGGGCATCTCTGGTTGGAATCATAATGCTTCGGCTAAAATGACCAAGCCACTTTTTGGAACCTGCTACGTTTAGTCACCCAAGCAGTATCAAAGGAGCTCACCTCATAGTCTTTCCTTGGAAGAATCTCATCCTCCTCCTCCTGTGTTTCTCCAAGGATGGTCTAGAAAAACAGATCCGCAGAAGGAGCCCTTTTTAGTGGTTAAGAAGGAAACAAGGTATTTACTGAAATCAGTGGCTAGCTTCTAAATCATCTGGAGCCATTATGAAATAGGAACCAGCCCTCAAAAAAACCTTTGGGGGGGGTGAGGATCTACAGCCATCAGCTGAGCTCTTCATTTCCACTGATAGAATCTCCAAACAGCCACACTCCTCTTCAGGACACCTCAAAGATGTCCGATGTCAGCTGAAGAGGAGGGAAAAACTCAGATTCCATCTGACAGTGTGACGTATGTGAAATCAGAAGGTACTTGTCAACTCTGGGAACACAACTCAAGTTTCCCCAGGATGCTTTGCAGTGGGAAGCTGGACTGTCAGTGACCCAGAAAGGGTGAGGGATAGAGTGAGAAAGGGCTGGAGAAGCTAAAACAGCCGCAGGATATGCACAAAGTCCTGTGAAGAAGCTCATTCTGAAAACGCTTGTTTCCTTCAAAACTCTTTTCAGATGGAAAAAAAAGGAAACATGGGTGGGATTAACTGGAGCTGACCTGGATTCTCCCTCAGATTCCAGGAGGGGTTATGAGAAAAGACCCCAGAGTTGGGCACGTCAAACAGGTCAGACGCTTCGAGAGCCCGGGCCGCATGCGATCCCCAGGCCCCACCGGCTGCCACCTGCGGGCCCAAATCAGCCCGGCCCCACCCCCGGCAACGCCTCTCGCAGTCCCTTAGCAACCGCGCCCGCTCCTTACCAGCTCCTCGGGGGTGCGGGTCTCACGCTCACCGCAGCAGCAGCACCACCTGCAGCAGCAGCACAGAGACCCCCTGCACCCCGCCATCTTCCTCCTTTACTGGCACTCTGGACCCCTCTGACAACCCCCTCCCACCCAGGATCCGCGCCTCACGTGACTGGCCCCGGGACGGTCACGTGGCCCTCTCGAGCTCTGAGACTGAGACCGGGAGTGGCTGCAGACGGGTGGGGCGAGGGCTCGCGTCACATGACGGTAAAGGCACGGCCTCCAACGAGACCCGTGGGCGCGGCCATCTTGGAGGCGGGGCTTCCGGTCGCCCGCAAGGGTGGTTTCCGCCCTGTAGTCCCGCCTCTCCAGCAACTCGTCACCTGCGCCGCTGCCCTCCCCTGCGTTACCCACCCCTCAACGGGCAAAGTGCTGCGGCCGCAGGCAAGCGTTCTGAGTCACCCCGGACTGGAGGGTGAGTGACCGCGAGGCCCGGGTAGCCGGGAGGAAGATCCTGGAGCCGGCGAACACCCTCTCGGGGCCCAGGACGTGCTTGTGGGCGGGCAGCGCTGGAGACTGGCCCGCCCCTCTTCTTGCGGGGGGGCTCCCGCCCCCTCCGCGCACCCTTCTCGGGACTAGTGTAATCAGTGACCTCCAACCCTCAGGCGAAGACTCACTTTGGTTCCCTGCCTGGACTGAGGGGCCCTTGAGCCAGGGGTGACGATCCCGCCCCGCTGACCGGCCCGAGCCCGTGTCCCCACCCCCATTGGTGACCCAGTGACCTGGTGACTCGATTCTCGGCCACCTGGGCGCCGAGACTGCTTTTGGCTTTTAAACCTGTCTCCCCCACGAGTACCTGGAGAAGAGTGCTGGGCCCGGGGCACTGCGGTCCCTGACGCCCACTGCACCCCGCTGCGCACTGGATTCCGCCGGGACTCTCCTGGGAGTCGTGGGCTTAGTATCCCGGTGCTTAGCACAGACTAGGATGGCAGAGGCTTATTTTGAGAGTGGCAGCACCTGGCCTGTTGGCGCTCAGTGAATGTTAGCTATCACCGTGTGCCAAACACTGGGGATACCCCAGGCAGGACACGGTCCTGGTCTCAGGGAACTGGGGGGAGAGACAGGAGACAGGCCTGCTAACCTGCAGTTACAACCTAGGGTGCTATGGGAGTCCAGCTGAAAACGGATAAATTGTGGGTGTTGGCTTACAAATATGGCATGTACCTAGTATGTACAGGAATGCAATAAGTCTTTGAAGATCAGGTTTGCAGGTGGTTCAGCCTCCTCCCACTGTAGGTTCTGTTCCAGCAGGCAGTTAATGAGTTGCTCCGTCAAGCGCTGGAGAAAGGCCAGCTGGCTCTCCCCACCGCCATCCCCACTGAGAATCTGGAGTTAGAGGTCAGAATCAGAGAGAAGCTCTAGGGGAAGAAAGCATTGGCCCAGGGTTCTCAGTCTGGAATCAACTCCTTGTCTTTGGATGCATCCATGTGTACTCTGTGCACCTGTGTGTGTGTTTCAGGGGAGGGGAGCAGTGAATTTAATCCGATTCTCAAAAGAGTCTAAGACCCCAAATGGTTAGGTACAAGGGCTTAGTGGTGACAGTCTGAAAGAAATGAACCTGACCTGGTCGTCTCTCTGTCATGCCATGTCACCACACACCGATTTCACTACCGTGTTTGCCCATTGCTGTGCACATTTTATTTGTTTTTAAGTGTTTATTTTCTTTACCAGACTACCAGATGGCACTATGCCCTCTGTTGGCCTGGCTGTGGCTGCCCTGGCAGCTGTGATTTTTTTTTTTGAGACGGAGTTTCGCTCTTGTCGCCCAGGCTGTAGTGCAGTGGCACAGTCTCAGCTCACTGTAACCTCTGCCTCCCAGGTTCAAGCGATTCTCCTGCCTCAGCCTCCTGAGTAGCTGGGATTACAGGCACCCACCATCACGCCTGGCTAATTTTTATATTTTTAGTAGAGCCCGGGTTTTACCATGTTGACCAGGCTGGTGTCGAACTCTTGGCCTCAGGTGATCCCCCGCCTTGGCCTGCCAAAGTACTGGGCTTACAGGTGTGTTTTTTGTTTTTTAAGAGAATGAGTCTCATTATGTTGCCCAGGCTGGCCTTGAACTCCTAGGCTCAGGTAATCCTTCTGGCTCAGCCTCCCCAGTAGCCGGATCACTGTGGTGATTTTAATTGCATTCAGTGGTGTGTAAGAAGACCTGCTTGCAAGGCAAGCACAGATGGGGCAGCTTTTGTTCTGAGTTGGACATAAATTCGTGCCCTTAACTGAACTGGGGTCTGGCTATTTTTGAAACACGACCAGTGTCCAGTTCTAACCCATGACATGGTTTTTTTGGAGTAGCATGAACTTAGGAGAAATTTGGCTGCATAGTCAAGCCCTCACCCCTTCCATCCTGCACACAAACCGTTTCAAGTAACAGATGTTCCAGGCAAAGCCAGCCAGCACGAGCAGTTCCTTCTCGGGAGGGTGATCTGGCATCCCTGAATGCCTGTTGGCCTCACCTCCACCAACCCATGCAGTCTCTGCCCCTCCTTCCCCCTCCTTCCGTCTGCCTTCCCTTACTAGAACCTCAGCCCTCCCTCCTTGCCTGGAAGCCTTACCCCGCCCCCTTGCGCTGGCTCTAGCTCAACCCTCTTCCTTTGTCACAGCTCCGCCCAGTTGAACACACCCGCTGGGGAAGGTGCCTCTGTTCCCTCCCCACTCACTGTGGGCCTGAGCTGGCAGAGATGGACCTTCGAAAAGCCAGGGTCCTCCCAGCTGGGCACTACTGCCCCTCGCTAGGAATACGGGCCTCGCAGGCCGGCAGCGTGAGGTTCTCTGTGCCACCTTCCATCAGGTAGCTGTCACCGAGGAGTATGTTGTAGTGCCGGGTGGGGGCTGCCTTGCATGCAAGGAGCCTGGCAGTAGCAGAGAGCAATGCTTTGAGTGAGGCGGCCCCAACAGCCATAGCTGAGGAGCATGGAACCACTGGGAGGGGGCAGTGTCACCTTTTTTGGCCTTCTTCCTGTGTGGAAATACAGCACCTCCTGCTTGAACCTGGCACTCAGGCACCTTGATGTGCCTGGGGTGTGGCTGCCTACCCCCTGATGCTCCCTGCTCCACCCCGTGCAGCAGGAACCCGGCAATGGTGAACGAAGCCAGAGGAAACGGCAGCCTGAACCCCTGCTTGGAGGGAAGTGCCAGCAGTGGCAGCGAGAGCTCCAAAGACAGTTCGAGATGTTCCACCCCGGGCCTGGACCCTGATCGGCATGAGAGACTCCTGGAGAAGATGAGGCGACGAATGGAATCTGGTGACAAGTGGTTCTCCTTGGAATTCTTCCCTCCTCGAACTGCTGAGGGAGCTGTCAACCTCATCTCAAGGTAAATTGATGCAAGGTTAAGGTGGGGACAGAGGGGTGGTAGTGCTGGGGAGCGAACTGTCAGCCCTGAGGCTGGGCTGTCCTTTAACCTGGCAGACAAAAGCAGCCGGAGGGGTCAGGAAGGAGAAGGCAGAGTGGGTCATCTGATCTGCAACTTCTCCATTGCCTGTAAAAGTCCCTCCACAGTGTCAAGGGTATTTTAGACACACTCTTCAATGGGTTAAAAATGATTCTCAAACTAGATTCTTTGGTGGAACTTGGGGGGCTGGATCACGAGTGCAGTTTAGGAAGTCACAAAGCAGTGAGCGTGTTTTCAGCAAGTTGGGAATTTGGATTATGTTTCTTGAAATCTAGAAATGCCAACCAAATTACGTTAGCACTTCATGACTTTCAATTCCTTTTTAAAAGTTTATGCCTTTTACTGTTGGCACTTTTCACGTGTCGCTCCTAAGATTTTGAAGTTTAAATGCACAAGCATGTTTAAACACACTGCGATAGCCTGTACCACAAACATCCAGGCTTTTGAGTCTTGTTTCGGAACTTGACCTTGGTCTGCACAACTGTGAGCTGCTGCACAGGGCTGGGTGGGGGCAGTGGCATGAAAGAAACATGAGTCTGCCGGCCGTCTTTCTAACTGTTCCTACAGTGAGGCTGTGCTTGACGCAGTTAGGATTCCCCTAACTCTCAGCTATGATGTCTTAATTCACCCGAGATAATAAACAGGGGAGCACTGGGAAGAGTCTGAAGTGCTGCTCTCACACAAAATGGTGGCGCTGTTGTTGTGTCTTACCTCTGTAACAGGGATCATAAAGGCACCTCACATTTACTGAGTGTTCGGTTTGTACACCAGGCACTGTTCTAAGTGCTGTGGAACTAGCTGCTGTCATATTCTCCTACTGTTGTCATGGTTTTTGTTGTTGCTGCTGCTTTGTTTGCTTTTTTGAGATCTCTGTGGCCCAGGCTGGAGTACAGTGGTGTGATTTCGGTTCGTTGCAACCTCTGCCTCCCAATTCAAGTGATTCTCCTGCCTCAGCCTCCTAAGTAGTTGTGATTACTGGTGCCCGCCACCATACCTAGCTATTTTTTGTATTTTTAGTAGAGTTGGGATTTCACCATGTTGGCCAGGCTGGTCTTGAACTCCTGACCTCAAGTGATCTGCCCCCCTTGGCCTCCCAAAGTGTAGTCCCAGTGGCTCACGCCTATGCTGGGACTGCAGGCGTAAGCAACTGCGCCCAGCTTCCTAGTGTTACTATGAAGTGGGTGCTATTATCTGCTGCATCTTATAAATAAGGAAGCAGAACTCACAGAGATTAAGTAATTTACCCAAGATAACACATCTATAAGTAGCAAAGCCAGGATTCGAACACTGATTGGTCTGTCTCCAACCTTCATTTATGCTTCTCTAACTCCCGGGCCCCATGGGAAGGCAGTCCGGGGTGGTATATTCCCTGGAACCTCTCTTCAGAAACAAACCCCCTACAGGTTTGACCGGATGGCGGCAGGCGGCCCCCTCTTCATAGATGTGACCTGGCATCCAGCAGGTGACCCTGGCTCAGACAAGGAGACCTCCTCCATGATGATCGCCAGCACCGCCGTGAACTACTGTGGCCTGGAGACCATCCTGCACATGACCTGCTGCCATCAGCGCCTGGAGGAGATCACAGGCCATCTGCACAAAGCCAAGCAGCTGGGCCTGAAGAACATCTTGGCGCTGCGGGGAGGTATGGAGCCAGCACTGCCCCACACGCTGGGTTCTGGCTTTCCCAAAAGCTACTTGGGTCCCTGAAATGTCCTTTACTTCTCCCTGGGCCCCCACTGAGGATGCACAGGATCCCATCCCCACCAGTAGTGTCAGTAGGCATCGTGGGTAGTGAGTCACCCTGGGCACCATACAGCAGCAGCTACCTCTTCCACCTCTTGACCCCGAAGTAGGAGTTCTGTCGTGAATGCAGTCACTGCCTGATAACCCTCTGCCCTGCCTACGCAGCTTCATCGATTGCTGGCTGCACCCAGCACTTGGCCCAATTGCAGAGTGCCATTCTGGCTTTTGTCCAGGAGTGAGAATAGCTGGTTATCCCTCTGGTGCCTGCTGTCATCAGGCCACCCAAGAGTGGGAAGAGGGAGCCTGAAGAGGGGGAGTCTGTGGTCTTGGGCTCCCTACCACAAGACCCCTTCACTTGAGATGAGTAGAAAAATCTCCCAGGAGGCAGGAGCCCCAAGGCCATGGGATGGGAGAGGGTGGCGAGCTTGCCCAGGTGGAAGTAGGGAAGGGCTCTCAATCCTCCAGGCGCAGCGAGGAGCAGCAGTGGTCTCCTGTTCTCCACCTGCACAGGTCAGCGCGCAGGGAATATTGTACTGGTGGGCCACTCTCTTCCCTCCTGCTGTCTACCAAGTACTAGAAAGAGAAGAGACCAACTTAAATAATAGGAAGTTTCTGCCTTCCGGGGACTCGCAGTCCTGGGTGCCAGGGCTAGGTAGAAGGAACAGAAAGGCTTTCTGGAGGTTGGTTGAGACCCAGTGACCATGACCTCCACCAACCCTGCAGACCCCACAGGTGACCAGTGGGAAGAGGAGGAGGGAGGCTTCAACCACGCGGTGGACCTGGTGAAGCACATCCGAAGTGAGTTTGGTGACTACTTTGACATCTGTGTGGCAGGTGAGTGGCTGGATCATCCTGGTACGGGGATGGAATGAGGGGGGCTGAGATGCCCAGAGAGCCTGTCAGTGTTCAGTTCAGGACACAGTGATCAGGTACACCTGTGGGGCCATGCCTGATGAGGGACATGCAGAGGTGAATTGCACCATGTCCTTGCTCTTGTATCACCCACTCCCCTCCTGGGCCTGCTGCCACCGACCGCTTGTTTTTTGTTCCTCTGCCTGGCTGTGCCCATAGCCTGCTTCTCAGCCCTGTTCTTTTCTTTAAAACAAAAGAGGGGGCCAGGTGCAGTGGCTCATTCCTGTAATCCCAGCACTATAGGAGGCTAAGGCAGGCAGATCACCTGAGGTCAGGAGTTTGAGACCGGCCTGGCCAACATGGCAAAACCCTGTCTCTACTAAAAATACAAAAGTTAGCTGGGCCTGGTGGTGCACACTTATAGTCCCAGCTACTCGGGACGCTGAGGCAGGAGAATCTCTTGGACCCAGGAGGCGGAGGTTGCCGTGTATGGAGATCATGCCACTGAACTCCAGCCTCAGTGACAGAGCAAGACTCCATCTCAAAAAAAAAAGAAAAGAAAAGAAATCCACAAAAGAGGGATATTTACCAACAGGACTCCAGAGGGCAAGGAATCCAAGGTCAGGAAATGGCCTCACCCCTCACAAGGCACTGGAAGAGGTCAGAAAGCAAGGCCCCCCTCATTCCCTTGGGGGCCACAGGATCCCCCATCTCCACTTCCCACTGCATATCTGTGCCTCGTCTGGGAGACCTGATACCCATGCTTTTCCGCACACCTGGCCTGTCCCTGAGTGTACAATGTCCGTTCCAGCCAGTCCCCCAGGCTAATGAATGGGCGTCCAAATTCCCAAGAGAGAGAATCCATGGGCTCCACTCTGGTTCCATTGGCCACAGCCATAAGGCCAGGTTCATCGACAGAAATGGGTGGGTTGGACTTCCCTCCCATCCTTGAAGCTGAAGGCTGGGACTGAGCCCTCAGCGTCTCAGATGGGGCTCAGGTATGGCGAGGCAGGCAGGGTGCGCCAGGGACAGGAAGTCCCGGGATTGGCACATCTTCTGGAATGACAGTGTTTCGCTAATATTTTGGGAGAAATCCTACCATTTTTATGTTAAACATGGCTACATTATGGAGTAGCGTCTCAAGTGATGTGAATTAAAAGAAAAAAAAAAAACACTTTGCGTCAAGAAAATTAACTTCTTGTGGGTGAGTGACTTTGGCCTTGTCCCTAACCCCCCATGGACATGTCCATTCTTGTGTCAACAGGGCTATTTATGTGCTAAGTGTGGGAAGCACTGATACAAAGTCAGAGAACAGGCACGTCTTACTGTTCAGTTGTCATCAGTTGTATCAGCTGTAATATAGTCAGTTAGCAGGGAACGTGTACCAGTAATGGGTGTTAGCTGATCCTGATTGGAAACTAGCGAAGCTGTGAGCTTACAGTTGCCGATTGCTTTCATGCTTTGCTTATAAAGTGGGTAATGAAGATCAGTGGATTAGAAAACACCAGCGTGGTGTAATTCATGCCTGTGATCCCAGGGCTTTGAGAGACTGAGGCAGGGGGATTGCTTGAGGCCAGGAGATCAAGACCAGCCTGGGCAACAGAGTGAGACCCCGTCTTTACAAAAAAATTAAAAAAAAAAAAAATTTAAAAAGAAAGCACCCAGCTGTTCATGATAGAAAAATATAATAAATAGCAAACTCTGTATGTAATCAAATGCTAGATTTGTTCAGTGATAGTTTGGTAGTACAGCTATAGTTTCAGCTGTTAAAAAGCCTTGTTGTTTCTGAAACTCCTACTGCAAAAGCAGCTTTGTTATTGAAAGCGTGAAGCCCAAGTGCATTATCACCCACTCCCTTACCCCTTGAAACAATAATTTTTATATTCATTTTTGTTGCCTCTGGGTTTCGGAGTTTTGATGACTCTTTTTTTTCGGAACTGCCTTATCAGAGCAAAGCAGCTTGGCTTCCCGCCTGGCTCAGGGTTCTGTCCTGGGCTTGGGCTGATGAAACCAACCCTCTCCATCTAGTTTCAGGAAGGCCTATGGTCTTCTTCCTTGCCCCTGACCCAGCAAGGGTACCAGTAAGTTTAGTCATTTAGGGAAGCTGTCAGAGTTCACAGAGTCAGTAAGGAGCCTACAGGATACCTGGTCCCGCCTCCCAGGCAATTCCGGAATCCTGTCTTCAGCCTCCCTAGCACATGGGGAGCCACTGCCCCTGTGTTTTCAGGCTCCAGGAGCTCATTGTTTTGTGGGTGGCTTGTACTCTAGGCAACTCTCTGAACCGGATGCTGGTTCTGCCATCAGAAGCAACACAGAATATGACTAATAAAGAACTGGACTGGGGGCTGGGTGCAGTGGCTCATGTCTGTAATCTCAGCACTTTGGGAGGCCCAGATGGGAGGATTGCTGGCGCCCAGAAGTTCCAGAAAAGCCTGGGCCGGATGGCAAGACCCCATCTTTTAAAACATAAATAATTAATTTTAAAAAAATTTAATTAGTTGGATGTGGTAGCATGTATCTGTAGTCCCAGCTACTCAGGAAGCTGAAGTGGGAGGATCGCTTGTGCCCAGGAGTTAAGGCTGCAGTGAGCCATGATCGTACCACTGCACTCCAGCCTGGGCGGCAGAGCAAAGGCTCTGTCTCTGAAAAGACAAACAAAAAAACTCACCTATGGTGGATCTTTTCTTTCTCCCCAGGACAGATCTTTGGACATTTGAAAGGAGTTTCTGCATTCTCTTCATTCTTTTCTTTTCTTTTCTTTTCTTTTTTTTTGAAATGGAGTTTCACTCTCCTTACCCAGGCTAGAGTGCAATGGTACGATCATGGCTTACTGCAACCTCCACCTCCCAGGTTCAAGCAATTCTCCTGCCTCAGCCTCCTGAGTAGCTGAGATTACAGGTGCCTGCCACTATGCCTGGCTAATTTTTGTACTTTTATTAGAGACCAGGTTTCACCATGTTGACCAGGCTGGTCTTGAACTCCTGACCTCAGGTCATTTTCCCACCTTGGCCCCCTAAAGTGCTGAGATTACAGGTGTGAGCCACCATACCCGGCCATCTACTCTTTTATTTGAACAAAACATCACTTTCTTCAGTTCTTCCTTATATGACTTGGTTTCTAGTTTTTCACTATGTTGGACTCCTGAGTAATTTTAATATTATATTAAAACCAATGTTTTAATCCAGTGCCTAGAGAAGTCAAGCTTAGCAGATGCTGTCCACCAGTGCTAACTGGAGCATTTTCTCTTTTCCATGGCCACCAAGTGCAGGCCTGAATTGCTTGGCTGCTCAAGGCAGGACAGTGTGGGAGTTTGGAGCCATCCCCCCCACTCTGGGAAGGGGGCTCTGAGCCACTGCCCACAAGAGTCATCTCCAGGGTTGGAAGCATATCAGTCATGAGCCCAGCCACCCACTATTTTAGTTGAGGCCATGTCTTGGAAGGTGTAAGATCGGAGCACCCAAAGCAGAGGACTCTGCTCAGTCCCTCTGGCCTCTCCATCCCTTGCCTTGAACAGGTGGAGGCCAGCCTCACCCAACTGTCACCCCCTATTGGCAGGGTACCCCAAAGGCCACCCTGACGCAGAGAGCTTTGAGGCTGACGTGAAGCACTTGAAGGAGAAGGTGTCTGCCGGAGCCGATTTCATCATCACGCAGCTTTTCTTTGAGGCGGACACATTCTTCCGCTTTGTGAAGGCGTGCAGCGACATAGGCATCACTTGCCCCATCCTCCCCGGGATCTTTCCCATCCAGGTGAGGGGCCCAGGAGGGCTCATCAGCGCCCTCCACCCCACTCCCACCGCGCCATACTCGCACAGGCTGGGGGCTCTGGGTGGAGTGCTGAGTTCGCTGAGTTCTTCCCGGATCTCCTGTCAGGTCCAGCACTTGCACAGCATTGCTTGGCTACCCCATTTTGGTTACTTCTAATTTTCCCCCCAAATCCTAGCAACAGTGTCATTTGAGAGGTTTGTTGTACTTTGGCTGACAAGCGTCACCAAAAGGGATTCTAACTCTCCTTGTTTTTGTTTGTTTGTTTTGAGACGGAGTCTCACTGTGTAGCTCAGGTTAGAGTGCAGTGGTGCAATCTCGGCTCACTGCAACCTCTGCCTTCCGGGTTCAAGCAATTTTCCTGCCTCAGCCTCCCAAGTAGCCGGGATTACAGGTGCCCACCACTGTGCCCTGCTAATTTTTGTATTTTTAGTAAAGACGGGGTTTCACCATGTTGGCCAGGTTGGTCTCGAACTCCTGACCTCGTGATCTACCCGCCTCGGCCTCCCAAAGTGCTGGGACTATGGGCATGAGCCACTGCACCCAGCCAGGGATTCTAATTCTCGTTACAAATCCTGATTAAATCGGTGTTTTCCGTATGTGGCTGTCATCAGAACCAGTTGATAAGTTTTTTCAAAAAATGGATCTCCATGTCCCACCCCTGGAAATTCTGACTCAGGAAATCCGAGGGAGGTCCTGGGAATTTGTGTTTTACTTCTTGAGCTTGGCAGGTGATTCTGATGATCAGTGCAGCATGGGAACAACTGGGTTAGACAACAGCATGTTATCAACAGAGACATCTAGAGCTAAAAGGCTGGCTCAGCCCAAGGCTGGAATGCTTATGGCAGCTGCCGTACCCTGTGAAAAGTGGGAAGGCTGGGCTTAGTGGCACGTGCCTGTAGTCCCAGCTACTTGAGAGGCTGAGGTGGGAGGATGGCTTGAGCCCAGGCATTTGAAAGCAGTGAGAAATGTCTCTAAAAAAAGAGAAAGGGGGAGAAAACAGCAGGCCAATCCCAGGTGTGCTCCTGGAATATCATCAGATTTCCTAGGTCCCTCTGCCTGACACTGTGGTTGGCGTGGAGGATGGAAGGGGGAAGAAGTATTTAGGGTGGGAGATGGATTGACGGACAACCGCCACAGCCCCTCGTGTCTTGGACAGGGCTACCACTCCCTTCGGCAGCTTGTGAAGCTGTCCAAGCTGGAGGTGCCACAGGAGATCAAGGACGTGATCGAGCCCATCAAAGACAACGATGCTGCCATCCGCAACTATGGCATCGAGCTGGCCGTGCGCCTGTGCCGGGAGCTTCTGGCCAGCGGCTTGGTGCCAGGCCTCCACTTCTATACCCTCAACCGTGAGGTGGCCACCACAGAGGTGCTGAAGCACCTGGGCCTGTGGACTGAGGACCCCAGGTGAGGGCGGTGGCCCAGCGATCCCCAGAGGGGGGTTCAAGAGCAGTCCCAGCGACAGTATTGTCTCCCCACGCTGGTACAGATGGGTGTCTGTGCCATGGCTAGCCGGACACACCGAGGACGCCAGTCTCAGAGGGCATGAGAGGGAAGAACCCAGCCTCCGTGGTCCTCCCCTGCTTCCAGCTCCCTCTAGCCAATCACTTGTCTCGATTCTCTGTCTCCATCCTCACCCAGGCGTCCCCTGCCCTGGGCTCTCAGCGCCCACCCCAAGCGCCGAGAGGAAGATGTACGTCCTATCTTCTGGGCCTCCAGACCAAAGAGTTACATCTACCGCACCCAGGAATGGGATGAGTTCCCCAACGGCCGCTGGTGAGGGCCTGCAGACCTTCCTTGTAAATATATCTTTGTTCTTGGGAAGAGGAGGGCAGAAGGAGTTTGCATGATTGTGGTTGACTTGGGAGGAGTCGGGGTAGGATTTACAGGAATGGCCTCCTGGGCATGTGGTGGCACTGCCTTCTGTCAGGAGCCCAGGTCAGGCGTGTGCCCTGACCTCTGGGCAACCCTCTGCCAGGGGCAATTCCTCCTCCCCTGCCTTTGGGGAGCTGAAGAACTACTACCTCTTCTACCTGAAGAGCAAGTCTCCCAGGGAGGAGCTGCTGAAGATGTGGGGGGAGGAGCTGGCCAGTGAAGACAGCGTCTTCGAAGTGTTTGTTCACTACCTCTCGGGAGAGCCAAACCGGAATGGCCACAAAGTGAGTGATGCTGGGGTGGGGTCCCTGGTTCATCCCCCACCCCTGGCCCAACCCCAGCTGCAGGCCAGGCTGCGGGGCTGTGACTCCCCCACCCTGTGCCCTCCTCTCCATGCTGTGGATGGCAATTCAGCAAAGGGAGAAGGGTGAGTTGGGGGTCCCCCACCTGGAAGGGCTTAGGTGGGCAAAGACAGTCTGGGTCTTTGTCGGGGGCCATGAGAAGGACTCGAGGTGCCAAACCTGATCATCACCTCGGCCCGCTCACCCTCTCTCCCAGGTGACTTGCCTGCCCTGGAACGATGAGCCGCTGGCGGCTGAGACCAGCCTGCTGAAGGAGGAGCTGCTGCGGGTGAACCGGCAGGGCGTCCTCACCATCAACTCGCAGCCCAACATCAACGGGAAGCCGTCCTCCGACCCCATCGTGGGCTGGGGCCCCAGCGGGGGCTATGTCTTCCAGAAGGTGTGGTAGGGAGACAGAGGGGTGCCCCCACTTGACCAGCGCCCAGGGGTTTCCCAGAGCTTAGGGCAAAGCAGCCTGTCTCTCCTGGGCTCTTAATTTTGAATGAGCATGGATCAGACGGGAGCTGATGCTTTAAGTCAGATAGACCTGGCTGGGCATGGAGCCTGGCCAGCACTTTGGAAGCCAAGGTGGGTGGATCGCTTGAGCCTAGGAGTTCGAGACCAGCCTGGGCAACATGGTGAAACAAAAAATACCCTCAACAAAATATATCTCTACAAAAAATACCAGGCATGGTGGTACACGCCTGTAGTCCCAGGTACTTGGGCTGAAGTGAGAGGATCGCTTGAGTCTGGGAGGTGGAGGCTGCAATAAGCAAGATTTCCACCACTACACTCCAGCCTGGCCCACAGAGTGAGACCTTGCCTCAAAAAAAAAAAAAAAAAATCAGACCTGTGGAGAACATGAGCTACATCTGTAAAATGGGATGTAGCTCATGTTCTGGGCATGAAACCTACCAAAGCATGCAAAGTGCTTGGCACGTGGGAAGAGCAGGAAGCACTCCCTGAAAGGCAGCTGCTGCTACTGTCCTGAGCTGACACCATTCTCCCAGGGCTGCTGGAGTTAAAAAATTATGTTCTGAACCAAGGCCCATGGGCTCTGGAGTCAGAAAGCCCTGAGTTGAAGGACCAGCTCTGCTGTTTCCTGTCAGAGTAGCCAATGTGCTCAGCTTCCCCCCACCCACTTTCCTCGTCCGGGATCGCTGTGCCCAGCCTCCAGTATTAGGAGCATTCTGGCAAATGAGTTTGAGTAAACCCAACTCAGTCCCTGATAGACACTGGTCCTAGAGAGGACCTCCAAGTCCTTGTCACCTTGCAGTGATTGGGGAGGATGGAATGTGTCAGGCTTCTCTCCCATCACTCAACTTGTCACACCAGTTGCTGCTGTTCAGAAATGGCTTCTCCATGGAGCCTTCCCTGCCTGATTGGGAGAGGGGTGGCCGATAGCCCTGAGACCTGTCCAGACTGAGAAACTCACCTCCCCACTCCCCTCACACTTTGCCTATATACCTGTTAATAATGACGCCACAGTTCATTATTCCGCCCACATGGCCACCACTAGTCCCAATACCTTAGGTGTCTGCGAATTAGGTGTCTGCGAAAGGGCGTCTGGTGGGGGGTGGGGTTGGTGACAGGCACCTGTTGCCCCCACAGGCCTACTTAGAGTTCTTCACTTCCCGTGAGACAGCGGAAGCGCTTCTGCAGGTGCTGAAGAAGTACGAGCTCCGGGTTAATTATCACCTTGTCAATGTGAAGGTAGGTCAGGTCCCGGGGTTCCCACAGAGCACCAGGCCCTTCATTCAGCAAACACCCAGCACCTAGCCTGGGCTGGGCATCATGCAAGACTGACACAGGCAGAACTGGGCCCTGCTCTTGAGCTCCCAGCCTAGTGATGGAGGCAGATTATTGTGTGAGCACCAGCCAGTGTAAGTGGGACAGTCAAGTTCAGGAGGGGATGCTGTTGGATCTAGAGGAGGGACATCTCACCTGGGAGGCCAGGCCAGGCTTCTCGGAGGGGTCATGTGTGGGAATCGCTGAGGACAAAGAGGAGTTGGGCAACAGGAAAGAAGAGTATTCCTGGGACAGGGCAGAGGACAGGCAGAGGACAGGCAGGGGCAGTGAGCTCTGGGGTTTCTGGGAAACTGGGAACACGGCCAGGAAGAGGCTGGAGTGTTATGCAGGGGCCGGGCCTGCAGAGGTCATGGTGTCCTGCTTGGAATTTTGAGTTTTCCCTAAATGCAAGGGGAGCTTTCTCTACCAGTGGGGTGGCTTGGTTCCTGCTTTATTTTAGGCAAATCACAGTGGACAGTCAGACAGGTGATAGGGACTGGGGAAGGCTAGAGCCAGGAAGGCTGGAGAAGAGGCCACTGTAGTGACCCAAGCCAAACAGTCCTAGCAGCAGGCTAGACAAAAGGGAATGGATCAGACAGTGAGCAGGGGGTGCTCAGGGAGGAGAGGGGATGCAGCCAGGATAGCCCCTAGGTCCGGGCTTGCGTGGGGAGAGATGCCATTCACAGATGCAGGCAAAGGAGGCTGGGAGTGGAGGCACAGGGAGAGTGGAGGCCAAGAGTGGAGGTGCAGGGAGAGTGGAGGCTGGGAGTAGAGGTACAAGGAGAGTGGAGGCTGGGAGTGGAGGCACAGGGAGAGTGGAGGCCGGGAGTGGAGGCACAGACCACCCCAGTGACTCAAGTCTGTCGAGGCAGTGGGACTCCAGTTGTCCTTGGCCCGGGTCTTACCCCCACCCCACATGCCCTCAGGGTGAAAACATCACCAACGCCCCTGGGCTACAGCCGAACGCCGTCACTTGGGGCATCTTCCCTGGGCGAGAGATCATCCAGCCCACCGTAGTGGATCCCGTCAGTTTCATGTTCTGGAAGGTAAAGGAGCCAGGAACAAGCTTGCCCTCCCCACCTGGGAAACCTGGGGCAGGGATTGGGGCCAAGTCCCAAGGTGTGCTGAAGGCCCCACCTGGGGCTAGTGGACCCAGCCTGCAGGCACACCCAGCTCTGACTCACTCACCCGTGTTACTGCTGACCCATGGTGTTTATTTCTGGGCAGGGGTGGGAAGTGATACTGGCAGTGGGCCTTGCTCTATTCCGGGAAATGTCCTGTTGAGTCCTTGGAGAGCCCAGCGTGGAGGCTATGCAGAGGCAGCCCTGTTAATCTCACCTGTGTGTGTGTGTGTGCATGCGTGTGCCTGCATGTGCACGTGGCGTGTGTGTGTGTGTGTGTGTGTGTGTGTGTGTGTATGCCTGCGTGTGCACGTGGGGTGTGTGTGTGTGGTACGTGTGTGCAGGACGAGGCCTTCGCCCTGTGGATCGAGCAGTGGGGCAAGCTGTATGAGGAGGAGTCCCCGTCCCGCGCAATCATCCAGTACATCCACGACAACTACTTCCTGGTCAACCTGGTGGACAATGACTTCCCACTGGACAACTGCCTGTGGCAGGTGGTGGAAGACACACTGGAGCTTCTCAACAGGCCCACCCAGCATGAGAGGGAGGCAGAGGCTCCGTGACCCTGCGTCCTGATGACCTGCGCTGCAGCCACTCCTGTCCCACCTGCCTCCTTTACAGGGCTGCTTCTCTTGGGAACCCACTCCCCTGCATGTCTCCCCCACACCTGACCTCCACTCCCCCGCCTGACGACGGCAGCTGGACTGGAGTGAGGCTCCCAGGCTCTGGCTGGACCAGAGTCGGCCTCACATGGGAACCTGGTACTCCCTGCTCTAGTTGGGAGTCTGTGTACTTTTGGTGGGAGCACTTCCGTCCTGCAGAGGACCACAGTGGGTGGCACCCCCTGAGAAGGGGAGGAGAGTGATTGTTGCCAGCCAAGCCCTCGAACCAAGGCAGCCTCCAGAGCCAGCCTGGGACTCCCAGTGAACTTACACTTGGGGCCACGCAGTGCAGGCAAAACATACACGGGCACCAGGTGTTGGTAGCATCTTAGAGAAGATGTGGCAAAGTGCTGCACGCTTCGACCTCCTAGAGGTGGGCAGCTGGGCCCCACCTACTTGTGACTGGAGGGGCACACCACTGCCCTGCCTGCCTGCTTAGCCGTCTCTGGCACCAGCCCTGTGGATGGGCGTTGGGCTGACACCTAACGATGCAGGCATTTCTTGCTGTATTCTAAGAGCTCAGCTGGGTTCCTCCCCTTCCTACCATGCTGCTTTTTGGCACAGTTGTCTATTCTGAGCCTTGAGAGAAAAAGTGCCCCATAAGGGTTGAAGGCAGTCTGAACCCTTGTGCTCAGTGGGGGTTGTGGCCTTCCCTTTCTCCCTGGCTGTGGAGGCCTCATGCTGCCCCATTTGCTATCAAAGGCCAGGATGAGATTCTCCAGCACAGGGGCCCCGGATCTGCCTGGGGCTGTGCAGCAGCCCGGCTTCCTGGCTGATTTTTCAGGTAGGCCCTCTTCCTGCCAGCTGCCCTTGCTGTCCCCTCATCCTGTCCCAGAGGCTATCTGCCTGGCCCGGCTCCCCAGGAGTCCTGCAAGCCCCATGGCCCGCGGGCAGTGACTGCCAGGTGCAGATGGGCTGTTCTCTGTCTTGGATCCCAGCATGCCAGGTGGAGTGGGATGGCCCAGAGCAGCCTGATGGCAGAGGGTGTGGGCACAGTTGGGGGACTCCCTTCTCAGCCTCACTGCCTGGTGCAGAGGGGCAGCCGCTAGGAGAGATAGAAGGCTGGGTTCAGTTCTGTTTTTTATTCTATGGGAACAAGTCACAGGGGCAGCTGGGCCCTGTGCTCTGCCCAAGCCCCCTACCCCACGGGGTTAAGGCTTCCTGTCTGCTCTCGGGGCGTTAAGGCCTGGCTTGCTCCAGGGTCTTGGGCTACTGGCACATCCTCTCCTTGGGCTCCTGGCTGCCAGGTGCTGGTGCCACTTCTCAAAGGCCTGGAACTGGGGAGGGGAGGAAGTGCTATTGTTGTGGGCGCCCTCCAGGATCTGCGCTGTTCCTGTTAGAGCTGTGAAGCTGTGCTCAGAGTGGAGCAAATGAGGGAGGGGCGCTCAGGACCCAGGCCCTCTGTAGGCCAGTGTGGGTGGCAGCTATGCCTCATGCCAAGCCTTCTTCCCAAACTGAGGGACCGGGTGGGATGGGCCTGAGCTGGGGCCACAAGTCAAATCAGGGGCTCCAGCATCCAGCCTGTGTGTTCTGTAAGGGAACTGACCCCTCCCCTGAAAGTGAAGGGGTCCTGGGGCTGACAAACAGGGAAACCCAGCTCTGCGGCGCGCGTTGGTGGCACAGGCTTTTGGGAGGGCTGACTGGGTGGAATGGAGAGAAGAAGTCAGTACCTGGGAAAGGACCCAGCCATCTTCTTGCCGCTGTAACCGCTAAGCCACTCCCAGTTGCAGGATCCGCTGTTGCCACGTCCGCCGGGCCCATCTCAGGTGCCACTCCCTGAGCTGTGGGGACAGTTGGTGGAGAAGGCCTTTTGTGCCCATGCTCCCCTACAGTCCCTAGCCCTTCTGCCTTTCTCCTCCTGCACCTCTGTGGTCCCACAGTAAAAGGCTGTGACAAGGGGGTGTCATCTGAGGAGTATTCACAACGCAGATTCAGGGGCCTGTCCCCCAGGGTTTCGGAGTCAGTAGGTCAAAGGGCCATACTTTGAGAGACTGTCTCTAGGGTTTTGGGCTGAGTATGAGGTGAAACAGGAGATGGTAAGTGTGGAGAGGGGCTGCGCCTGCTCACCAGGGTCCATGCCAGCTGCTCTGCCCCTTGGGCATCTACCCAGTGCTGCCATCCACTGTCAGGCACCTGACCTGCTGGGAACCCTGCAGCCCACGAAGTAGTGCCTCAAGATACCAGTGCCGCAGATACTTCCTCCTTAAGGCCAAGAGCATTGTGACCCTTCAGGTCCAGAAGAAGGGCAGAGCCCTGAGCCTGGGCCGCTCCTCTAGGATCCTGCAGAAATGAGCACTGGCCAGAGAGGGCCCAGCTCCAGCCCTGGCTCAGGCAACCCCCTTGGCCCCTGCCCCCAACCCTCGGACCTCCCAAACTGCGCACACACAGCTCCTGTCACCCCAGCCTCCTTTTATGGGCCTCATCTTGGGCTTTGAGGGAGTGGGGCTCAGGGCTGGGGTGCCATCTTGGTCCCTGGTCCACAGGGGCAGGTCTGGGACTGAGCTACACTGTCCAGGCCACTGCAGCCAGAGCTGGAAGGCAGGGCAGAGGAGATGCTGTCTGCACCCTGGAAAGGGGAGTTGAGTCAGAAGAGGTTACTGTGCGTCCAGGAAGGCAGCTGCCCTCAGTGCCAGCCTAGGAGTTGTGTACAGTGCGGAGGGTGGAGGAGGTGCTGAGCTCAGCCTCATGCCCTGCCCTGTATTTCCCCAGGCCTCCAGCTGCTCTGGGCTGCTGCCCAAAGGGAAGTCATGGGGGCAGGGCAGGAATGTGAAGTGTTTTCTCAGAACAGCTGAAACATTCCCAAGAGGGAATGGATGAGGAAAACAGTCAATACACGTCAGACTGTGTCCCAAGGAGCTGATTTCCAGGCCCTTGAGAGCTGGTGACCAACCACTTTGTCCCTGTGCTTCAGACACCATCCATCGCACCGCTTCACCCCTGTGCTTCAGACACCGTCCATCCCACCGCTTCACCCCTGTGCTTCAGACACCGCCCATCCCACCGCTTCACCCCTGCGCTTCAGACACCGCCCATCCCACCGCTTCACCCCTGCGCTTCAGACACCGCCCATCCCACCGCTTCACCCCTGCACTTGACACTGTCCATTCCACCATTTCACGTCTGTGCTTGAGACACTGTCCATCCCACCGCTTCACCCCTGCGCTTCAGACACTGTTTGTCCCTGGGGACAAGGTCTCCTTAGGGCCCAGGCCGTTCTCCTTGGCTTCCTCTGTCCACCCAGGCTGCACTGCAGTGATGGCCCAGGTGGCACTGGCTCTGTGGCCTGTGTCCAGCAGCTGCAGGTCTGAAGGAACAGCCAGAGAGGAACACCTGAACCCCATGGGCTTGGACCTCCTGGGGCCCCACTGGGATTTATTTGCTGCTCTGGCTGGCAGGACACATCCTGCCTCTTCCACCCATTCCCCCGTGTGGCTGAAAACATTAAACAGTGGGGTGGGACCATAATAGCTGCCCCGCGGTGCCTGGAGTACAGCCCTGGGAGGTGAGTGTTTCTCTCCTCACTTAAGACTGTTCAAAGCTGAGTTACTTATCTGAGGACTTACCCCTCAGAAGTGGTCTGACTCCAGAGACCCCAGCTAGTACTCTCTACAGAGAAGGGGCTCTCCAAGGGGGCTGTTGGGGCATGTGTGCCTGTGGCAGAAAAGAGGGTCCTGGAATTAAGCACCCCAGGTACCATTCCCAGCATTTAGTTTTCAGAAGCCTCAGTTTCTCCATCAGTATGAGAGATTCTTGTCTTTACTGACAAGAATGGAATAAAAGTATAAAAGTACTCAGAAAAGCATTTGCCCTGTAACATCTAGAAAGAAAATACCCGGAGAGCCCAGAATCTGCTGTTGCCTTTGCCGCTTATGTGTGAATTCTGCAACTAGCCAAGGCTATTCCCTTTCAATTCCACTTAGAAACCAGCAAGCATGGTGGCTCGTGGCGGTATGGGCCTGCCCAACACTTGGGAAGGCAGGATGGGCAGATTGCATGAGCCCAAGACCAGCCTTGGCAACATAGTGAGACCCCACTTCTACAAAAAAAATAAAATTAGTTGGGTGTGGTGGCACACCCCTGTAGTCTCAGCTACTCAGGAGGCTGAGGTGGGAGGATCCCTTGAGCCCTGGAGGTTGAGGCTGCAGTGAGCTGTGATTGCATCACTGCACTCTGGCCTTGGAGACAGTGAGAGAGACTGTCTGAAAACAAAAAACAAAACAAAACAAAAAAATCACTTTAGCTTTTTTTCTTGGAATCTTTTTCTAAAATGTATTCTTTGTGGCATTCTGAAATAAGATTCACGATGATCTTAGGGACACTACCTCGCCTGCCAGTATCTCTGGGCTGTGCCATTCAAGGACATGTCCCCAGATTTCTGTGCAGGGTCATGTTTTGTGCTTGGCTTTTGTGGTGGCCTCTTCCCTTCTGCTAGGCCATCAACCTCTCGTAACCATTTGTTGGTGTCAGAATTTATTCCTTCTGGTCTGGAGAGGGACTGACAGATGCCTTTGGGTAGAGAGAATTAGGAAAGAAATTTTGATATTTTTGTACTTTATATTTTCTGATTTTTCTGTAATGAGCATATTTCACTTTTCTAACAAGAAAAAAAAAAAAAAAAAACTTGGCCAGGTGCAGTGGCTCACACCTGTAATCCCAGCACTCTGGGAGGTCGAGGTGGGAGGATCACTTGAGGTCAGGAGTTTGAGATCAGCTTGGACGACATGGTGAAACCCCGTCTACCAAAAATATAAAAATTAGCCGGGCATGGTGGTGCGCACCTGTAGTCCCAGCTACCCAGGAGGCTGAGGCAGGAGAATTGCTTGAGCCCACGAGGCAGAGGTTGCAGTGAGCCAAGATGCAGTGAGCCACTGCTTCAGCCTGGTTAACTGAGCCAGACTCTGTCTCAAGAATAAACAAAAAAACTTGACAAAAACTTGCGACCATCCTTGTGTACCTATCCTGATCCTCGACTGCTCCTTGAGAAACGGGCATTTCCATGTCCACCTAACTGGCTGTGACCCAACACGCTAGGCAGAACTGCAGTGGGCTGGTGCTCAGGAGGTGCTGGGTTCAGCTTTGCTACTGGATTCAGAGTTGCTTGTCAGAGGCTGACCAAGAACCGGGGAGAGGAGGTATGTACAAGGCTGCTGGGGCCCTGGGGAGGCATCCAGACATGCCGTCACCACGGGCTCAATCAAGCCGATTCTAAGACCAGTAGTCCGAGGATCGTTTTTAGACCTCCTGTCCCGCCTGGGCTCCCCTCACCTTCTTCCAAGGGGCTGGAGCATCCAGCAGCAGCACGCGCCCCCTGCTGGCCATCGGGGCCAGAGCATGAGGTCAGCCTCGAGTCTGGGGCGGACCTTACCCGCCCCTGAGGCCTCAGCCCGCAATCCCAGCCGCACCCTGAGCTGCGCCGTCCTCAGGAAGCCCCCGAGCCCGGCCTGCCGGAGCTGGGTGAGGATGGCTCGCTGGAAACCAATGCGCGCTGCTAATTGCAAAGAGGCCTCTAGGACCCTGCGGGAGAGGGAGGAGTCTGCAGCCTGGGCCATCAGGGCCGGGTCTCTGGGAAGCTCTGCAGGAAGCCCTCCCCGTGCCCTGCGGGTGGGGGCCCTCCAGGCCAAGCCCCGAGCCGGGGCCCACCCACCGCCACTCCCTCTTCTGGAGGGAGAATCTGGGTAAACAGGATGGAGAACAGCCTGGAAGGAGGAAATCACAGGCAATGACAAGCATCATCCTGTTTAGGGGCAGAGAGGGGACAGTCCTGCTAGTGCTGCTTTGCAGCCCCTTCCCTGGCAAGAGCGCATTTATGGCTGGCTGTGCTGATGACTGCAAGGCAGGATCATTAGAGACTGCCCCAAGGAGGGGACACACAGGAAGTAGCGGTGCCAGGATGTGACCCAGGACTAGATGGCCAGGACAGCCCCTGTCACCCCCAACCACCCTCTTGAGCCTCAGCCCAGCCACCCAGGCACAAATTACGCTCTATCCCTGCAAAAAACAGGCTGGAGGCCTGAGCTGGAAGCACAGAGTGGGGCTGCCCTTAGACCATGGGCACTCACCAGGCTCCCGGCTTCCAGGAAGCATGGGCTCGGCTGACATGGCCCTGACAGGACTTGGGCACCCACAGAGTCCAGCACCAGGTCACCTGGGCCCGAGCACTCCCTCCTGCCTGCTGCTGGGCCTCATGGTGTATGCCCAGGCCACTGGCATTGCTGCGAAGGCTTGTGACGCCTGGCCCTTCTTCACCTGCCCGTATTCCTGGCCTTGCTGCAAGCAGTTTCTCCAGTGGGCAAGGGAATCCTGTGCCCCATGTTGCTCCTGTGCCTTGTGCTGCTCCTGTGCCCCGGCTACAGCTGCCTGGGCTTCCCACCATTTGGCAAACGCGGCCCCCAGTGCTCTTCTGCTCAGGCAATCTGGAAGGCTTGATGCTGGGCCCTGAGCACCCCCATGTCTCTTATAGCCTCACACCAGGCCTGGAAGTAGCTGCAAAAACAGACACATGGGGCCAAGCACAGTTGCCAACACCTGTAATCACAGCACTCTGGGAGGCAAAGGCAAGTGGATCACCTGAGGTCAGGAGTTCGAGACCAGCCTGACCAGCATGGTGAAACCCCATCTCTACTAAAAATACAAAAATTAGCCAGGCGTGGTGGTGGGCACCTGTAATCCCAGCTATTTGGGAGGCTGGGCAGGAGAATTACTTGAACCCAGGAGACAGAGGTTGCAGTGAGCCGAGATCATGCCACTGCACTCCAGCCTGGGCGACCAGAGTGAAACTCCATCTCAAAAAACAAACAAGCAGACAAAAAAACCAGATATATGGGAGGGCTTGTCTGGCTTTCAGAGTCAAAAGTCACATTTATTCAAAGTTACGCCTGCAAATCTCCCGCAAAGCAGTCAATGGCCAGTAACAGGGCAAAGTACCGGCTTTCCATCTTAGAACCTCAGCCTCAGAGCACAGGGGCTGCCCTGCGAGGGCATGGGAGCCAGCAGCATGGGTTCAAGCCCCACACCAGCCATGCCCTGCCTCCCCTCACACGCCCAGGTGGTTGGTGAGGAGAAAGAACTCGATCTCCCATTCACTAAGAAGCCAAGAAAAAAACCATCTACACCTCAGATGCAAAAGCACAGACGTCAGCCGTTCTGTAGGCAACAGTTCACTGCCCCTATGGGGATACTGGACATTCGCAAATTTGTACTGAACTGCGGGAGGAGCCATTCCGTGTCCCTCTGCTTGGTTTTACAGCATGCATTCAGGAACTATGCGCGTGTTCCACCAGAACATCTTTAGTTAAGTGAAGATTTCACTCTCTTCTCTTTGGGGTGGTGTACAGCTGAGTTCCCCTTGCTGTAACTCCTCACAACGGGGGTTATGCTTCCTGCCACCAGGGGACACGCACTTGGCAGGGAGATGGGCATTCACTCGGGTTCCAGCCATCCCTGTCGAGCTCTGTGTCTGCGTCCCAGGCAGCCCCATGGCCCCTGCGGCCCTCTGCTCAATTCAGTGTCCCTAGGCTACCCACCTCCCAGGGCCTGGCATTGGCTGGACACCACAGTGTGCCAGGTCCCGTGTAGGGCCCCAGGGAGGAGTGGGATGCAGCTCGTGGTATACGGGACATTCCTCCATGTTCCTCCCAGTGCTGAGCACTGCTCACGTGCCCACCCCATAGCCCCCAGGCCCAACCCAGGTCACAAGCTTGGGGACACTTACTTGGCCCACTGACACTGGAAAAGCCACCTCTTCCACAGCAGCCACACCCGGCGGAGGGCCAGTGTCCGGCAGGCATCCTGCAGGGAGCCCTGGGCCTGCTCCTGCAGCCCCTGGGCCTGGCCCACTGAACCCAGGCCACTGGCTCCGGGACCTGTGCCATAGAGAGCCTCGCATCCTGAGAAACGGTCAAGAGGCCAGTCAGCTGCCTCCCCACTGACGTCACTCTACCCACAGCCATTGATAGCTGCTACCTCGAGTCCTTTTTGGGACCTCTCCCCTCTTGTCCCCTTCCACCACCTCCAAGCCCTCCCCTCCACCTCAAAGATCCCATCTTCCCTAGTTATGTTTTGTGTGTGTGTGTGTGTGTGTGTGTGTGTGTGTGTGTGTGAGAGAGAGAGAGAGAGAGAGAGAGAGAGACAGACAGACAGAGTTTCGCTCTTGTCACCCAGGCTGGAGTGCAATGGTGTGATCTTGGCTCACTGCAACCTCCGCCTCCCGGTTTCAAGCAATTTTCTTGCCTCAGCCTCCCGAGTAGCTGGGATTACAGGTATGCACCACCATGCCCGGCTAATTTTTGTATTTTTAGGAAAGACAGGTTTTCACCATGTTGGCCAGGCTGGTCTTGAACTCCTGACCTCAGGTGATCCTCCCTCCTCAGCTTCCCAAAGTGCTGGGATTAGGGGCATGAGCCACCACACCTGGCCCCCACCAGGTTTTGGGGTGGGGGTTAGGGCTGTGTGTCCCCCATCAGACCAGGAGCTTCCCAAGAGCAGAGCCCACAATCCCTTTGGGGCAGGATCTGGGGTAGCCAGCACTGGGAGCCTGCAGTGTAAGGTGCAGAACCAAGTCTCTCACCCAGAGCAGCCCGAGATGGGACATAGGAATGTGGCCCAGTCGGGGTCTGCCCACTCTGGGACCCCTCCCGCACCCTCCCAGGCCTATAGGCTGCCCTCCTAGAACGCCCCCAGTTCTACCACCTCCCACAAGAATCCACACATTCAACTGGGGCCCACTGAAGAAGGGGCTTAAGTGACACGGTTTGCTGGGGTGGAAGCCAACACTAGCTCACCTGCTTTCTGCCGGCAGAGGGACAGCTGGGTCACCTTTGCCGGATCTGAGGCCCGGAGCTGCTTCATCCGCACCCACTGTTCCAGGCACGTCCTCAGGGTCTCGGCCCGGCGGTCAGCCAGGTGGTCTCGGTACCGGGACCCTCTTTGCGCAAACCGCTGCCAGGCCCCAAAGCACCTGGGAGAGCAGAGGGAAAGTACCCACGCCAATTGCAAGGACTGATGACTGCGGCTGCCGCTGCCTGCCATTGCCAGGCACGCTACCCAGGCCTTGGCAAGCCGCTTCATCTCTCCGAGCCTCCATGGTTTTGTTGTTGTTGTTTGTAGTCGGAGTTTCGCTCTTGTCGCCCGACAGCAATACGTGGACTTTACGGCAAACTCTAACACAATATATACTTGCAAAATAATTGGAAATGTGAATATCTGTGAATACTGGCCAGATATTCGTGAGTGTTAAGGAATAGTTGTTCTGTGTGTGTGTGTGTGTGTGTGTGTGTGTGTGTGTGTGAGAGTGGTATTGTGGTTATGTTTTTATTATTTATTCATTGCTAGCCCCTCCTGATCGCCACCCTCCCCTCACCCACAGCCTTTCTGGGCTTTGCATCCCAGCAGTGACCATCTTGTGTGGAGGCAGCACCAAGGTGTTGCCACAGGACCTTCTTGCTCCTGACTCCCACTGGGATTTAGAGCAAGCTGCTCCAGCCCTCTGAGCCTCAGTTTCTCCAGTTGTGTAATGAGGCAGAAGGGGGAGGAGATAAAAGCTTGATCCCTGGCTCCTGCCCTTGTTCCTTTACGGTATTTATTCCGTGTGTGCAACATTCCAGGCACCTGCAGAAGCTGGGAGCCAGCGGTGACAGCCAGACAGACATGGTTCCTGCCACCAGGGGACACACACTTGGCAGGGAGATGGGCATTCACTCGGGTTCCAGCCACCTCTGTAGAGCTCTATGTCTGCATCCCTGGCAGCCCCATGGCCCCAGTGGCCCGCTGCTCAATTCAGTGTCCCTAGGTCACCTCCCAGGGCCTGGCATTGGCTGGACACCACAGTGTGCCAGGTCGGCTGGAGTGCAGTGGCACGATCTCAGCTCACTGCAACCTCTGCTTCCCGGGTTCAAGCAATTCTCATGCCTCAGCTTTTCGAGTAGCTGTGATTACAGGTGTCCACATCATGCTCAACAAATTTTTGTATTTTTAGTAGACATGGAGTTTCACCATGTTGGCCAGGTGGTCTCGAACTCCTGACCTCAAGTGATCCACCTGCCTCCGCCTCCCAAAGTGTTGGGATTACAGGTGTGAGCCACCGTACCCGGCCAGTGGTTATGTTTCTAAAGAGTCCCTATCTTTTACAGAGGCATACAAAAATATTTATGGATGAAATAGTATAATGCATGGGATTTGTCTCAAAATAATTTGGAGGGGGATGCATTTGGGGTACACATGAAACAAGCATCCAGAAATGATGATTTTGTTGAAGTTGAGTGATTGTGGTGCTGGGGTTTGTTATCCTAACTGCTCTGCTTTTGAGTGAGATAAAAATGCCCCCTAGGCCGGGCACCATGGCTCATGCCTGTAATCCCAGCACTTTGGGAGGCCAAGGATCACCTGAGGTCAGGAGTTTGAGACCAGTCTGACCAATATGGGGAAACCCCATCTCTACTAAAAATACAAAAAAATTAGCCAGGTGTGGTGGTGTACACCTGTAATCCTAGCTACTCGGGAGGCTGAGACAGGAGAATCGCTTGAACCCAGGAGGCAGAGGTTGCAGTGAGCCAAGATCGCGCCACTGGACTCCAGCCAGGGACACAGCTAGACACTGTGTCAA